TATTAAACATTAAAAGGAACAAGATTCCAAAATAAAATAGAAATGCTGATAAACAAGAATTGTGACTTAGTAAATGAAAATAGTAAGAAGGCTTTCCAGCCAAGATAATACTAGTAGTCAATAGAAGATATAAAAAATATAACAAATGACACTAAATTAATTAAATATACGGGGACGGGGACCTACAATTTAAAGTCAAGACATCAGCGCAAGCTATAATTCTCAAGTATTCCATGTCATTTTTCATAATCAAAAGAATGTAAACGTAAAAATTAATCAGTCTTAGACAATTAAAAACCCTAGTGACTTTTCTTAAAATGCAGAGTAAAGATTGTAAATTAAAATCACAATTTTTCTAAGGTGTAATTAGCAGCTGCAGTAGTCAGAGGCTCACCCGAACAATTATTGTAATTTGTAGTTGAAGTATCCCAACGTTGCCAGTGTAGCTGAGTGGAGTATGGAACAGGCGGGTAGGCAGAGTAGTTGTAGCCATGGTCAGACCTCCAAGCATTTGAGTCCTGTTGATACTGCTGCTGTTGTTGTTGTTAATGATGATGCTGCAGCTGTTGCTGCTGCTGCAGTGGTTGCTGCTGCTGCAGTGGTTGCTGCTGCTGCTGATGCTGTTGTCCAGACATGACTTGCGCAAGTCCAGAAGCAAATGGTGTAGGTGTTGGGGCAGATGATCGAGGAGAAAAGACGCTTGAAGCAGCAGATGAAGGAGACAAAAGGGCTCCCTTGAATGGTGAAGTACCACCAGCCTGTAATGACATTAAAATTAAATAATTTAGTCATTCAAATAAGATGAAAAGATAATTAGAACAAAGTAAAAGAAATTAGAAAGGAAAGTGAACATACCTCGGATGAGCGCTGCTTTAGTTTTTTAATGGAAGTTACTTTCTTAATAGCAGGTGACTTCTGCCTCCAGTCTGGAGCTCTTTTGTTAATCATGGCAGTAAGGTCAACGGTTTTCATTGCCTTCTCTTCCGCAACATTACTGTTGACAAATCCTTAAATAACAAAATCAAGAAATAAGTAAGCTAGAATTTCATGATGAAACTAAAAGACAAACATTTAAAATGTTGAATTTTAAGAACTTTAACTACTTACTGCAAACAGCTGTCAAGACACTCCTAGGAATCGTGTAGCTACCCTCCTTCTTCCCTTTACCAGTTACCGTCAACAGTTGAAATGTTTCTCTTCCATACAGAGCAAAGAGTGTTTCCCGGGCCAGGATTAACGGCCTGTTTTTGTAGTCAACTCTTAACTGGTCTCTGTCTGTCTTGGATAAGAAAACGCCTTTCCCAAGTTCCACCTGTGCATTTATAATAAATTAGTCATAATTTATGAGAAATATTTCAAGTTTCAAGTGTAAGATAACTACATTTGACTCATTTTCAGGTATGGAAAGAAGATCTAAATATTGAAAGCCAGGTGAAGTTTTACTTTTGCACAAAGCAGACAGTTCAGTAAGAAAACTCCAAAACACAGGTTGATCTGTTGGCATGAAGTACGATTAGATTGAAATTTAGTGGAAGATGTAGAGGTGTGCACAAACTGGATACAATCACTACTCACCATACTTCTTCAATAATTCACAAGGCCCACATTGGCAGGAAACTCCATCACCCATAGCATCTTCGCATTCATCAGAGTCTTGGTGATCGAGGTCAAGCATGTCACTATCCGTCACCAACTCCTTGTCTGACTCCTCACCATCATCAAGATCGTGATTATCATTATAATCATCGTCATCATCATTAATGTCATTGGCATCGTCCCTAACTTTGCCTGAAATTAGTTAAAAAGATACAAATTAATAATATCAGACTAGTAAACAACATTCTACTCTGATGGAAACTTTCAAACAACTTTTTCCTAATGTAGGACAAAACACCTATGTCAGTCAGGTTAGAGGCAGATGTCTTCCTGGACTTAGCTTCATGTCGTTCCTTGGCAGCCACTCGATTGGAATGTTGGACTTCCTTGGGTACTGGTGGACGTGAACCCAATGCCAAGGCAACTGATTTGTCCGAAGCTACTCCAGAAGATCTCCTTTCCTGCTTCTTCCTTTTTCCTTTCCCCAACGGATCCACGTTCTCTTTCGAAGAAAGAGAGAGGAGAAGTTCGTCTTCCTTCTTCTCCAGAAGGTCCCGGTCGTCTGAAGACGAAAAACGATAACATTAGGGAAGCAATGCGGTACACAAAACGAAAGATAGGTTAGAGGGCAGTCCGAAGAGTCCCAACCAAACAAACTATTTGTGCACGTGGTTTTATCACGAATAAAACACCAAACTTTCACAGTGCAGACGAGTAAAAGAACAAGGGCACCCATAACCTCCCTGGCGGTGTTAGGTTGTTGTACAGCTGAACGGTTGTAAAGATAATGAACACTCACACTACTTTCCTTCGAAGACTCGTAACTAACCTACACACACGCGCAAAACGATGCATGATACTCACCGCTTATAAGTATAACTCTGGCTGGGTAGAACCTCTTGTCCCCTGAGTAACGAACTGATCCCTTCGACCCATCAAACCTCATGTGCTTCGGTACGTGGTGGATAGGCTCAATTCCCGTTTTACCATGATCCCCATCGTTAGGCCACAAAACTAAGGCTTGCGTGCCGGGCATGACGACGGAGTCGATCAAATCAGAAGAGAGAACTTGCTACGAACGCAAGAACACAGACGGCTGAACAGGCTCAGTGATTCTGAATCGTCGTTCGATGTCGATGTGACTGTGAGCCTGTGAGCAAGGTCAGGGAGGCGGCAGCCACGGCCGGCCGGCAGCTCAGCTGATGCTTGCGGGG